AAGAGTTTCTAGCTAACTTGGAAAATAATACCTATAGAAATAATTATTGTATTGTCAAAAAAGGCAGTACCTTAAGAGAGACACAGATAAATCCTATTAAAGTTTAAAGTAATACTGTATTAAATTTCTCTGGAGTTATTTGTAGAAACTTCATGGAGAAGGTGTCCATAGAAAGAAATGTCTAAGGTTGGTAAACATCTGGAAACATAATCGGAAATAATGACCTTTTTAAGCAGGGCAAGAAATCCACAAAGAGCAAAGGCATAGTGAAGAGAAATCTCAAGAAATGTTTATGTAACAGGAAGAAGTTAACTTTTACTGGAATAGGAGTTTTTGAGGCTGTGTAATGGAAGAGAGGTAGAAAGTTAGACTGAGGTTTCACAAACTGTTGAACTTGAATACCAGGTTTGTTCAGTAAACTATGGCAGATCATTAGAGCTCTTCAAAGGGCAAAAATATGTCATCAGATCTATGCTCTAGGCATATTGCTTTGGCAATAGATATTGCAGTAAAAATGAGTGGCGTGAGAATTGAGGCAAGGAGAACTCTTAGGAGACATCTGCAGCTGTCCTGGAGAGGGCACTCAGGGACTGTTCTGTCCACTTGGGCTGGCACTGGCAGAGGCCACTCTAGGTCATGCTCTAGCAGCTGGAGGGGAAGAATCAGCCAACCTTGGTTGTTGAATATGTTCTCAAAGGTGACCTTGAAGTAACTTAGCAGGACAGACTCTGAAAATGACTGTATGATTTTTTTAAATGGCAAATGCAAGGGACACAGGGATGAGCACCATTTTGGACATATTGAGCTTAATATACCGGGTGAATGTGACAAGCAATCAATTTCCATCATGTTCATGAGGAGATTTTCAGTTGTTCCTGGAGACACCTGCCTAAGAGTGAGAGAGAGAGACTATGGGGGCCTGAGCTAATGTGGAGACTCCCCTTTCTGTTCCCATTACAGACATGTAATTATAACAACTTTTAACACATAGCCAAGTTCAGAAAAGTCCCCAGATGTCATCAAAGAAAATGTGGCAAGCACGCAGGTTGATGCCACTAGCACATCGGGGTATCTATTCCAGATATGATCCCTAGTGGCTTGGAAATGGGATTTAAATGTCTACATGGTAGAAGATAGATGTTCTGCTAAAACATGGATTTGGAAGTGAGTATTCTTGGAGTCTGGAAGCACCTCCTTGCCAATGCAAAGTCACTGGAACCTGTGCCAGGTATAGTTACGGGTTATGGATTTATGACACATGAGTATTGTGGGAACCCAAATTGAGAAATTAAGGTAGAAATTTGTCCAGGAACTGGTAAAGTCTGCAAGGCAAGAGCAAAAGGAAATTAGTTATCCTTTATTAGGGACGTTTAAATAACTCAAGACTCTCATGGAACTCATAAAGAAACAAAAATCACCGTGAAAAGGCACTCACAGTAAAACTTATAAACCACGTCAGGCAACAAACTATCTAAGAAGAAATAATCAAAGGAAAAAGCAGGAGAACTTGAGAAAAGAAGGAAACAGAACAACCCAAAAAGGAGATTGTGAATTAACCCCTTAAATTTGTATGGAGGGAAAGGAAGAACGTAATGAAAGAAGAGGCCTTTTTGAAAAAAAAAAAAAAAAAAAGATTTGACCAAAAAAAATTTTTGTCTAGAAATGAAAAATACATTTGTTAAATGAAAATGATTAATGATTTCATTGAACAGCAAATTACATACAGTTGGAGAGGGGATTAGTGATCTGGAAATAGGATTTGAGGAAATTGCACTAATGAAAGATAAATTAATAGAAATTTTGAAAGTGAAGTTAAAAGGAAATTCCTAATAGAATTTCCAGAAGGAGAAAAGGGGGTAGATAGATATGAGAGTACATTTGATAAACTAGTACCTTTAGAATTTTCTAGAAAAGAAGAAAAGCATTAATATTAATATTGAAGAAGTATGACAAGTCCTGACATACTCATGGTAAAATGCAGAATATTAGATATAAATAGCTAATCCTAAAAACAGTGGAGAAAAAGTTACTATGAAAGAATTATCATTAGACAGCAAAATTCTCAACAGCTACAACTGAGACTAGAGATACTAAAATAATATGTTCAAAATGGAAAAATGAAATAACAGTCAACCTAGATTCTATACCTGGACAAACTATTACACATTAATGAAAGTGAAATAAAACTATTTGCTGATAGAATAGTCTGCAAAATTCTGCCATTACTGAAAGAACTCCTATAGGATATAGCTCAGTAAAGAGGACATTGAATGAGAAGTAAGGAATGGGATGAAAAAAGAAATGGAGAGTTGGCAGTTTGAGGCTTCAGCAGAGTAGAAACTATTTGGAATAGGTCTGTAAGAAATTTAATCACCAGCCAGTAACAGATGGCTAAAAATGCTGTGGTGGAGGAATGAGGAAATTCCTGAGATTAGATACTGTCAAGTCTGTGTAATATCACTTTTTACTAACGGAAATCAATCAGGCATTCCAGGTGAGTAGTATTGCTAATAGTTGAGTGGTTTTCAATTTTGGTAGAATAATGGAACTTTAAAAATTATTTTAAAATATTACTGGTTGGATTCCATTCCCTAAGTTTCTGAATTGGTTTGGAGTGTGTTCCAACCATCAGGGTTTGGTTTTGTTTTTTAAGCTCCCCAGGTAGGTTCTGTACAGCCAGGGTTGAGAACCACTGTAATAGATTGCTAAAGAAGAGCAGAAATCTAGAAACTGACTTTAGCCACTAGTCAAAGCAGAGTATGTAGCCTTTTCATCATGATCCAGCCCTTTTCACCCTGATGAGAACGGCTCGCTTTGTACTGGTGGTTGGCAAGCTTTTTCTGTAAATGGCCTGATAGTAATATTTTAGGTTTTGTGGGTCAGATGGTCTCCGTTGCAATTACTCAACTCTGCTGTTATAATGCAAAAGTAGCCATGCAAAATAGGTAGACAGATGGGCATGGCTCTGTTCCAATAAAATTTGTTTGCAAAAGAGTGAGGAGCAGGATGTGGCCTGTGGGCCTTAGTTTGCCAACCTCTGCTTTAGAGTGTTAAAGTACACTTAATGGACACAGTTGAGGACCATCACATTTGCTTTGGAGAAAGTAGCCACATGTGTGAAGAGGTTAAAGAAGTGACAGCTCACAAGGATGGAGAAGAGCATATGAGGATGAAATGCAATGGAGTGTGCAGACCAGGCAAACCATAGGCCTGGGAGGATTCAGAGGGAAAACTGGGATAATGCACACAGAAAGAGTTAGGGTTATGACATAACGGGGTAGTTGTAGCCGGGTAGTAAGTTGAGAATACAAGAGAGGTTTGTTTGTTTTCTGTTGGTTTGCATTTGTTGATTTTAGCTTGTTTGATTTTTCACATTTAGAGGGGTGACATGTAAATGGATGGCTTGGATTTTCTATTTAATCACGTCAAGATATTTTGGGTTTAGAATGAGTGTACTTATATTTTCAGCGCGTAATCTATAATCATTGTATCTGAATTGAAAATATTTATCCTTTTTCGTCCTTGGCCACCTTCTCAGTGTTACCTTCACATAAGAACATTTTCTTTGCACGTATCTTGATTAAATTTATACAGATTATCCAAAGAGTAAGCTTAAATTATAGTAATTGAAAGAGCAGAGAGATGTTTCCTGTCCAGCATAACGTCCAATTTTTACTTGAATTTGTCCTCTTTTCTTCTTCCCTGTCCTCATAATTGCTTGCCTGGCTTATGGAACTGCTTATTTATTTTAATTCCAAAGCACAACTTTTATTCACATTTTAAGACTTTTGAAATTAGGTTACATCTTTAGAATCAATGGATATGTATTGAATCATTGAATGTATATTTTATTTCTTTACTTCAAAACCTTTTATGAAATTCATAGTGTATCTTCTAAATGACAGCATCTTAGAAACAAGGAAATAATGGTATTGTCTTCTCTCACGTTTTTGCCTCCATTGTCCTCTGGCAATCACTTCCAGAGTTCCCAAAGAGTTACATTTCTGGAAAACAAATCTGATCTTGTCATTACCTTGCCTAATAATTTTGTGTGCCTCAAAATAATTTTGGGCAGTCTCAAAGTTTCAGACTCCTTGGTGTGGCATTCAAAGGCCTTGTTATGTAAAGCCTTTCATATTCTGGCCCAAAATATTGGATCTCCAGCCTCATTTCCCACCACCCGTTTCTCCCTCATGTGAATTACTTCATTCCTGACAATCAGACACATGATGCATTGTTTTAATAGAAGTATTATACAACCTCTGAGAAAAGTTTAATAAAATGGGATTGGTGTTGAGCTGAAAATAGCTAAAACAGGCTTTTTCTAAAGCTTAATACTTTAAGATGGAAATTGTCCTTGCCGGAAAGGCTTGACTTTGTAGATTAGAGTAAATTGTTGAAGAAGTTTATGGAATATCTTTATTTGGAGCCTAAACACAGACTAGACACTCTTCTGTTTGGGATGATTCAGTACACCCACGGGAGATAAACAAGATGAACTTTGAGGTTGTGGCCAGTTCTAGGAGTTTGGGGATGATTAATGACTGTATCTAAATGAGGCCAAAACATCCAGATGGGAGTGAAGAGAGAAATTCAGTTAGTCATCTACATGCTCTCTCTATATAATTCCAAAGACCTGGATATTTAACAGTTGAGTGTATGTACTTGTTTAAATAATACGATATATTTCACTGGTATTTTGTGTTGAATGTTCATATGTTGCTATAGTATAAACAACCCCATGAAATAAACACCTGTTATCTTATCACCATCTGCCATCAAATGACATATATCAAATTTTAATTTTTAGAAAGGTAAAAATTGCAAGCTAAATTGAAAATACAAAATTGCTTTTGTTTGGTCTGAGAATAAGACAATAATGAAAGAATAGTGTAAATTTCTTATACATTTTTGGCTATTTCTTCATTTGTATAAAATGGAAATTAGGAAATGGCTTATCCACCATAGCAAATTTATATGGCTCTGTATTTTAAATTTAGGTATGTGTCTTGCGCCCTGGGCTGTCCATATGAAGGAGGCATCACGACGCAGAAAGTGACAGAAGTAAGATAGACCTCCGGTTTTTTGGTTCATGGTAAAATGCCATATGTTATTTTAAAAAGTGGGCTATTTTACTTGCTATTTATTGCACCTGCACAACAAACAACAAGGAGAACTGTGGAATGGCAGACATGTTTGCTCACTTTAATAGTTTCATGTTAACACTGAAGACCTGTATATTGGCAATAACTGTTCAAAGTTAAATAACACTTGCGTCTGATCATTTGGGTGCACAGTAGATTATAGTTGTTAAGAATTTGCTTATTGAAGTTCATTTTTTACTTCCTGTTCCTGTTTATTAATTGAAAGGAATGAATACAAAATGCTCAGTCTTGGAGGTTCTATTAGACTATCTCAGTAACTCATTTGTAGATGAAGTATATTAATGTTTATGTGTTAAGGTTGTTAATTTTCATAAATTTAGTAATATGGTCCTGAAGCAGTGACGATGACGTTGTTAGAAAATCAAAATTTAGACAGGATAAACTTTCAGTTTGGCTAAAGCCATTCCTATTTTGTACATTCATTTGAACTTTTGAAATATATTGCAGATTTTTCAGAGATATCCCATGGTCTATTATTTAAGCAAGACCTTTACACGCAGAGGCAAGTGTACTATAAAATAATGAAGCTTAAATTTTTTAGTCCTTCACTTGCATAGAACCCTTCCAAAACTCTGTTATTAATTTGTATTCACAATTACACATTCTTTTCTAAAGAACACTTCCAAAATGGTGTAACTTCAGGCTTCACAAAACCTGGATGCAATTCTGTCTGTACACCAAACCCTTTGTTTTTCTGCCTTTTGCCTCCTGCCATCTCTGGATGGACAACACACACCCTCAGGTTCTTCATTATTTGCACCAGAATGCCTGAGGAGTTGCTGAAGAGAATCATGTGAAAGATCGGAAGCATTAGGAATTCAGGACCAGCAACCTTAAATGGGTCTTCTGTGCTATTCTAATACATTATGTGGCCAACTCACTCTCCATCTCTCTGAAGTGACTACTGCAAACTGCGTTCACCCTATTCAAGCCTCTGGTCCTTCCCCTCATTTACTCCCATTTATTCACCTGCATAGAATCCTTCCCATTGACTCTTGAACATGTTCAAACCTCTTCCATCTGAAAACTTCCTTTATTAATTCAGCATCCCCATCCAGTTATTGACTATCTGCCTCCACCTTCCTACATCTAAACTTCTTCACAGGGCTGTCTACAGTGGTGGTGGCCATTTAGTCATGTGTCACTAACTCTTCATCATACTTCAAGACGACTTCTAGACCCTTCACTCCACTGAGATCCTTCTTTATAAGATCACTAATTAGTGCTTGGGTCAGAAATGCAAGATCGTATTCAGTCCTTGTCTTGACTTCTCAGAAGAATTTGGGACTCATGATCCTTCCCTCCTTCCTGACATCCCTGTGTCCCTTGTATTCCCGTGACACCACACTTACAATTTTCCTCCAGTTAGGTTTCTCCTTTGAAGCCTCATTCTCCTCTACCTGGCCATTAAGAAATTCCGGCATTTAATAGGTAGTTGAGGAGAATGAGCATTATGCTTTTTTAACCCCAGTTTCTGTCCAATAATCGTCTTCTGCCTGGACTAGGTAGCCCTTCTGAGTACCCTTAAACCTGTCTTAAATATTGTTATTGCCTTTCTAAAACATAAATCTGATTATATCACGACCTCTCCAAATTCTCTCATGACTTTGTATTGCACTTATGGTAGAGTCCTCAACCAAAATCCCAAGCTTGGTTGGTTTATAAGACTCTGCAGGGTCTGTCCCACGCCTGCTTCACCAGCTTCATGTAGCCCCATTCTCCCCTGGTTTTTGCTTTGTTATGACCCCTGTTCTTTGCATTTGACATTTTTCCTACCTGGTATGCCCTGTGCATTTTATATTTCAGCTGCCTGGAACATATCAGCCTTTGCATTTGATATTCCACCTGGAACATTGTTCTCATACACTTGTTCTCACCCACTTCAACAAGTAAATGCTTACTACATCTCAGGCCCTCCTGCTTGACAGACCTAGGCCAAGTTCCTTCGCCACATGCTCTTAAAATCCTGTTTCTTTGTTTAAAAATTCTTATGTTAGCTGTATTTACACATTCCTGAGTGGAATTGATTAAAGTCTGTCCTTACTTGACCCCCAGCTGCATAACAGCATGAACCATCTCAATATTTGTATCCCCATTATATTCGAGCACTTAGCATGGTGCCTGGCATAAAACAGGCACTGAAGAAATACATAATAAATGAATTAATGAGTGATCACCTGCCAGAATTTGTACAAAGTGATCTCCATATATTCTTATTTCATTTTTACAACCAAACATGTCATTATTAACATCAACATTATTATTGTAATTTTTAAAAATTAATAAGGCTTAGAAAATATGCTAAGTAAGGGTGTTTTGGCATTTGTATTTTACAGAGTAGGGACTGAGGCTTATAAAGGTTACTCTTCTGCCGAGTATCACATGTCTAACATGTGTGGCAGCTATTTAAATCCAAACCTGTCTGTTTGCAGAACCCATGTCTTTGTCAACATACCATGCAGCCCTCATGCAAAGTCACATTGCTCTTTGAATGTAACGTTAGTTATTCAGCTTGAAGGGAACTTGTAATTTACCTTGCACAAGTGCATCCATTTATGAGCCAGAAAAATTAAGCCAGAAATATTGTGATGCTACCAATTACAAAGCTAGTCAGTAACAGAGCTGAAATTGCTATTGATCTTTCTCGACCCCTAATCTAATGCCTTGAGAAAGACTACCTTCAAAGTAAATTTGCAATGCTTCTGTTTGATTAAAGGGTTGAGGAAGCAAGCCCCCTATAATTGGAATGGTAGCTTATGGTTTCATAATTGAACATGTAGATAAATAGTTATGACTCTAAGACAAACTTGAATATTAGAAAAAGATAATTGCAGTGATGTCATTCCAAATTTTATGCAATGCTTAGAATTTAGTGAGCAAGGAAAAGGACCAGAAAGCTGAAATATGTTTCCCATGGATACGTAACTGATCTTGGTTGTGACTTGTACATCTAGGTGATGTTCGCTAAGGAGACCCAGGGTTTGAGTCTGTTCATTTCCATTGTTTTACTAGCTTTTCACCTTTCCCAATAGGTGTCTAAGAGATTGTATGGCATGGGCTGTTATGAGATCTCGCTGGGAGACACAATTGGAGTGGGAACTCCAGGAAGCATGAGAAGAATGTTGGAAAGTGTCATGAAAGAAATCCCATCAAGCGCTCTCGCTGTTCACTGTCATGACACATATGGACAAGCCCTAGCAAATATCCTTACGGCACTTCAGGTATTTGGTATTACTTGTGTCTGTGTGTAAAGGTCTATATCCTTATTTGTAATATAAACACGTTAAGAGCTTTAATGAGATAATATTTATAAATTGCTATGACTACACTGTTTAAACAGTGCCTGCCACGTGGCAAGCACTCAGGAAATATTTGTAAATTGCACATATTTTCTAGGGCAACGATATCTCTTATTAGTGTTAATTTGATTTGATAAAATCCCTGAATTCGCTCTTTTTAAAGTATTAATCCTCTTAGAGCTATGTCTGCTTTTTTCAACTCCCATATGCTCTCAGCCATAAAATTTAATAGACTGAAATATGATGGCATTTTGAGGAGCACAAAGCACAAGGATAGTAGAGTGCACTGTTGCAATCATGTAACTCATGCTCCTCTTGATAATTTGGTGCTCCGTGATGAGAAGATATGGTGCTGAAACATAGAATACTTTGTTTAAGATGTTTTCCTGATGTTGGCAAGCATACTTTTGAAAGAACCCCTGGTTTTTATCAAGTATATTCTGTTAGATGATCAAAACAAAGAGATTTAGAAAGTCGGGGGATGAAGAATTTCTTATTCAGTCCTAGTGATAACTCAGTGATTTTGAATGTATTTAAAAGAATAAATATAAATAGCATTTGAAGGGTATTATTTTCAAACTAATGTTAGTTTCTTAAATGTGGCTAAAATTAGATTCATTTGATGTTCTTAAAACCCAAGATTTTGACAACTAAAGATAAGACTAAATGAAAGCTTTTTGATGCGGTTGAAAATCAATATGTAAAGCTTAGTGTCACAGTCCTAAAGTGTACAGTTGCTTGGCAGAAGTTAAAAAACAATGTGAAGATCAAGCCCCACAAGGGCTTATTCTGATTTTGTAACATATGTGCACAAATCCTTATTTATCCTCTGGAAGCAGGCAAGGAACGTTGTATTGAATTAGAAGAGAAAATGATATCCCATGGACTTTTGGGCGTGGGAATTTTTACAAATTCCCTTCCCTAGGTATTCTAGTTTCTAAAACAATAGAGAACTAGGCATCACTTCGGGATTCTGTGTTCAGCTCCTCTGTAACTTATTAAGTGTTCCTGACCAGCAAGTTCCTAAAAAGGTCTGTTTGTGTGTGTGTCTCTCTCTCTCATTTCTCTATATGGATATATCGTCTATATGGTAACACTTGGACTCATATTTTATTCATGTAGCATATTTTTTATATAATTAATGATAGGTCAGTTCTTTGGGCTACAGGGCGATAGTGCAAAATCTGGGAACCTAGACTTCTGCTTCTGGAAACTGTCTTCCTCTTGAAAATGTCCATGTGCCGAGTATTGTGATACCCCATTGTGATTTTAATGGTTAAGGAAAGCCTATCCATCTGAAGAAGTAATGTTTAAAGTCAGATGTAAGCAATGAGGAGGCACTAACTCCAATAACGTGTGTGTGTATCTGTGTGTTTGTGTGTTTGTGTGCGCACCAGTGTGTGAAACAAATAGTTCAAGCAGATGAAACTAGTTGGGCAAAAGGCCTTGGGAGAGGGGAGGATCATGCCTCAGGAACTGAAGAAGACTAATGTATTCAGAGGAGAAGCTAAGCTTTCTGACATTTGCTGAACGAGTTGAATTGCAAAGTCTCTATTTACAAAGAGGTGAGGACTGAAATCCTGGGGCATTTGCCCATCCTGTAGCAGCCACTCAGGGGATGGGAAACAACCTTGGGGCCCAGTAAAATGGGGAGCATGGATGAGAACCTATATAAGGCTGAAACCCCCAAAATACCACACCCTCAGTCAAAGGGTGAACCCCCCCAATATTCCCCTCACAAAGGGAGAAGGCAAGCACATTCATTTTCAGGGCCTTGAGTATGGGGAGAGGAGAAATCCAGTCTCTGCTTGTATATCATAACCTTTTGTTGACCTTCATGTGGGTTTAGGGTTCCAGTTCACATTGCCTGCAGACTTGGAAAGACCCAAGTGGATAAATTATTTTCAAATGGTTGTGGGTTAGTAGCACCTACAGGTGCCAGGAAGAATATAAATCTTTTCTGATGGAAGACATCTTCAACTTAAACTGAGCTATTTAGGGTGTGTGTCTGTGTGTTGTGTGTCAGGGGAGGGGTGGATAGTCTGCTCTTCAGCAGCTCGGTGGTAGTTAGTAGGAAGTGGGTCTACAAGCATCTGCCACTGTGTCTTCTGTTCTTTGACTGTGTGCGCAAGCTCTAGGTATATGTGGGAGGCAAGAAGGCAGGAGGGAAGTTAGGGACCTGGGAAAGCAAGAGTGTTTTTCCAGGTCAGTGTTCCGTGGCCCCAGAGCTTAAGATGTAGCTTAAGTGTGAATGGGTGGAGAAGAGGGTAACAGTGGCTTGTATAAAAAGCAACCTGACAGGAAACCTGAGGGGCTAGTTAACATGAATGATTGAGGAAATAGTTAAAAAGCAGAGACCTGCTGAGGAAGCTAAAAGTTGGAGGGGTAGAGTTTTTTGTGTTTTCTGCTGTTAACTTTGGTATAGTTTGATGAGTCAGTGACAGCATAAGAAAGAAATATACTACTGCTACTCTCTTTGGAACTGAATGTGGCTGAGACAACCTTTAAATGTTTGGAACTTTTATGTTCCTAAAGATAGCCGAATGTGGTCCTGGAGCGTCACTGCAAACACACCTTGGTACTGCTCCCAGGCAGCACCTAGTAAGGTGGTGTCCTCGAGTCCTCTTTTCCTTTTGTCATCTCACGTCTTCTCCTTAATGATAGCAACAACAACAAAATGAGCAAGTTTACCTTTAGTGGAGGAGAAAAAATGTCTTGGAAAAAACTGCCAGGGCTTAAATGGAAGAGAAGTCAGAGAAAGTCTCGCTTCATTATGAGCAGGGTAACCTTGGCTTCAGGAAGCAGTGGACGTACCTCAGTTTTCGAAATGGTATCTTTGAAGTGGCTTCTAGTAAAATTGGTGATGGCTGTGGAGTGGATAGCATTTGCTTTCATTTAGGGGTTGAGACATAGTTTACAGTGCTGCAAACTGGAGGTTAATATTAAGACAAGGAGACGTGGAATAGTGGAAACTTGGCCACAGAGGTAGAAAAGAAAGGAGAGTTATAAATGGACCATCCCCCCAGTCTGGAAAGCACACAGTAACTGTGTAGTAGACAGATCTTTCTTGGGTTCCCAGGTTTTATTGTATTTTTTTTTATTACTTAAACATATGACTTATAGGACTGTAGATGGTTGTATGGGAGTCAAGAACTCATAATCATCACATATTATTTAATATAGAGAAATAATTCTGAGACTATAGATTTAAGTGCAGGATATTTATAACCACTCAAAACCGAAAGAGCAAGAAAATGAGGTGATAAAATGTACAGCATTTTAATAATGGAAGAAACGTACACGGCCCAATATACTTGTCTTAATTTTCTGTGTAAAAATTGAGACTCACCCTCCTGCGTAATCCCAAGTACCTGAGTAAAGCACCAGTGAACAAACTGTTTAGCCTACTGAATACCAAACAATTGCACAGTCTCTGTTTTTCTCCACTCAAGTGATTTGAGTCTTCATAATTGGGTAAAAACAGAATGAAACAAATGAGATCCAATACCTCAAATACAGTATCCCGTTAATTGGTAGCATACAGACAAAGCACAATAGGCAATATTTGGCTTTCTCCTAAAGAAAGAAGACGTGCCTTTTTACTTTTAAACTTAATAGACTCTTAGCTAACGTGCCCTTCCTCATAATGTTTTTCGTATATTTATTGTTCTCCTTTAGAAAAAGCAAATTATTTACCTAATTTTTACATCAAAGCATTCATTTCTTTCTTTTTTTTTTTTTGAGGAAGATTAGCCATGAGCTAACTGCTGCCAGTCCTCCTCTTTTTGCTGAGGAAGACTGGCCCTAAGCTCACATCCGTGCCCATCTCCCTCTATTTTATATATGGGATGCCTGCCACAGCATGGTTTGCCAAGCGGTGCCGTGTCTGCACCTGGGATCTGAACCAGCGAACCCCGGGCCCCTGCAGCGGAATGTGTGCACTTAACCGCTGTGCCACTGGGCCGGCCCCTCGAGGAGAATTTTAAAAATTCTAATCACTAGCCACATGAGTCTCTCTGTTCTCAGGTCTGTATTGTAGAATGCATACCATGATGTCTGCCTCCTCAAATTACACCAAATTGAGATGAGATGCAATTTCTAGAATGATTTCTGTGGCAACAGTACATTTGGTTAATACCTACTATTATTACACCAATTACAATTAAAACTACTACTAATAACAATGATACTAACTCTTATTACTCTTTCTGTGAGTAGAGCCAGTAAAGCATTGTGTTACAAATGTGTTTTGTAAATACAAGCATTAGATATTGTTCATTTCATCATCATCTGTTAAAGAGCTAAACAGAAATCAATGAGCAAGAAAGAAAACAAAAAGTTGAAAACCGGGTGTTCCTACAGAGGTTTTAGAAAATGCAGCATAAATTTATTCAACAGATATTTGTTTTATCAGACACTGATGTAGCTGTCAGATTCACATGTTAAAGGCTCTGAGCAGTACTGCTCTGAAGAAAACTGTTTTAGTTTAACTCAGTATTTCTAAAAGCTTTTTGATCATGAAATAGGTTTTTTTTTTTTTTTTTTGCTACACAATTAGCTTTCTACAGCATGGCATCCTGTTGGAAAATATTCTCATAGGAAGGTGGGGTAATGTGTAAGTTATCATTAAAAAATAAATAGGTAGATAAAAGAGGACAAGAAGTCCAGCAGAAATTACCACCATCCACTTCTCGTGTGTACACACAGGGCTCCTGAGCCATAAAAGTCAGTGAGAAAAAGATGAACCAAGGCCCTTCTATATATTTTTTTCAAGTTGTTCAATTGCCTACATCAGTGATGAAAAATGAATAAACATTTGAATAATTTTGTTTTCTTTATGTCCAACGTCTTTTAATTAATATAAACTTCTCTCTGGTTTTGGCAATAGGTGACCAATTAGTTTTTATTTTCAGAGATAACGT